CTCTTGCAGGGGGATCCACCCCGCCTGTGCGTGGGCGCGGCGGCCCTGTCAACCGCGCCGCCCGTGCTCCTCGATCCTCCATCCGCCCTCCTCCCCTTTCCCCATCCTGCGTCCGCGATCCCCTTTTCCCTCCTTCCTTCGCCCTTGTTCTCCCTCCTCGTCCTGAGGTTCTTCCTCCCTCCTCCTCCCTCCTCCTCCTCCTCCTCCTCCTCCTCCTCCTCCTCCTCCTCATCCACCCTGTTCGTTCCTCCCTGCTCTAGCCCCCCCCCCACTCCTCTACCTGCCTGGCAGTCATGCTTCGTCCCCGCTTCCCCCGTGCCGTCGTCGCCAGCGGGCAGATCGCACCCGCGCCTGCACGCCGTCCCCAGTGGCCGCCACAGTGCCACTGATCGCGCAGCACCAGGGCAGCGCCATGGACCGACGTCGAGCTATACCTCGCGGCGGGCTCGAGGGGTCGTGACTGGCTTCGGAGGGGTCAGGGATCGCCCTCGGCAGCCTCCGTGGCACCAACAGGGCGCAGTGCAAGAAACTGTGGGACTGCCCAGCCTACCCAGCAGTCCACGAGTAGGTTCGTTCAGTGTGTTCGCAGTGCCTCTCAGCGGGCCCCCCGCAGTCCAGGATCGCGATGGTCAGGCGCGTCCCCTCGCATGCACCCGAAGACTGGAGTTCCCAAGCCCCTTCCCACTGGCACTTTTACAGCCCATGTGGCCCGCACTGTGGACGGTCTCGCACCGATGACCAATTTCTTATCGACATTATTCCGCTCAAAAATTCCGCATCGATGTCACCCAGAGACATCAATGGCATGCCGTCGGTAGAGGCACCACCCCACCGACCCCAAACAATTCTGATGTTTCCGACGCGTGTCGGGTTTGATTTCGGAACGCCTCGAGCGACACATCACATGCTCACGGGACCTGGGCCTCTCCCTGGCCAAGCCGACGATCCTCCGACGGAGTTCAGTGCAGCTCTGCACGAAATTATGAATCCGAGAAGCCCGCAGGCCAGGGTCGCCAAGCAGACGCCGTGCGTTGCGCGATGTCGACGTCATCTGGTTGACGCTCAAACGCGATCCGTTTTGGAAATGTAGCAATAAGCAGGTCAGTAACGACATGATCCGCTTCATGGTTAAGCTTCCCAAGCCGAGTCAGTACTGTTCGTTTGAACAAGTGGAACAGGCCGAAGAAGCGCAGCGAAAACATTGTTTTCGTGGCGCCACCTGTTCTTGTATGTACGCAGTGCGAGTTCGAGGGGATTAGCAAGCAAGGGCCCAGGCAGCATTTCGCGAAGGGGCGCTGGCGCACTTAGGATCGAACGATTCACTGGGGATGCCATGCATGGCGTAAGCTTCAAAGTGGCGACCTACTTGCGCACCGTATGCGTGGATCGGCCCTCACACTTGACATGGCAGCAGAGCTCAGTCAGCAGGCCCAAGGAAGTTACATGTCTCAAGATGCCCGAGTGCGGCAGGTGGCGCGCAGCGTTCCCAGCCAAGGTTGTCTTGCCAGAAGACTGCGGGCACCCACCACCTGTTCTTTCTTGTTCCAGATCACTATGCGAGGGGTCTGTTTCTATTGTCCAAATACGATGCTGCCCCAGGAGGGCTTCCTCCGTACTTGATTTTACTCACGCCCGAAGATGCCAGCATCGAGTTCCCGATTGCAGTGCAGTTTTTCCCGATCGCCATTGGCCGCTTCGGCCGCGCGGCCACGCTGCTGACGCAGAAGTCTCACTGCCGTGCAGGTTGCACCGGCTTAAAATGTTCGTCACCATCATGTTCGGATGATGTCGTCGTGCAAGCAGCACCACGACTTGAGTAACGATCGAACGGCATACTCCCCCACTCGTTCGAGCTGTCAATTTGTAACGTCATCGGTGCTGAGCACGCAGCAGAGTATCATCCGTGTCAGGGCTAAACGTAGCCTGCCCCGACGAACGGCACACGGGAGGCCCCGCCTGCGAAACGTGGTATGTCGCACGATGGCAGGAGTCCCCACCCCACGCCTATGACGCAGGACTAGTTGTTGGGTGCGCCGTGGGTGACCAGCCGCCAATCGCTGCAGCTACCCAGTGGGGTCCTACTGCTGGTGTGGAGTCTCATGCACTTCTTGGGATGTCATATTTGGCGGATGCCTCAGGGTGAACCGAGTCTCCTCAACCAGCGATCTGGCAACCCAGGGCCCTTAGCATTTTTCAATGGGCTTCGTTTGATACCCTCGCGTCCGCTCTCATTGCCTGCATGGTGTATTTCGACTTGCGCGAGCGTCAAGACGTGCGTCAGACTACTATTGGCAGGGCTCCCACGAGGGTCCTAGGGATTTGCCCCCCCCCCCCCCCGCGCCCCATGCCAGGCTTACCGACTTTCCCAACCAGGGACGGCGACGCCACCCCAAGGATTCCCAGTAGGTTTTCGGCAAGCGCGCCTTTGGGACTTTCCGTGCGAGAGTTAAGAAAGTTCCCCTCCCCAGAATGTGCGCGGGTCTTGCCTACGCCATGCGGGCCTTTATTTCCAGCATCTGCGGTGCTCAGGTGGGCGCTGAAGCGACTGCCGGCCCACCGTGCGATGATGCGCTGACCATTGGCACTCGAGAGTTTGACGATCCAGGCCGAGGCTCCCAACTGTCCTGAGGACCCGCCGCGGGCCCAGGTGAGGAGCAGGAGGAGGATCGGGTGGGGGGAGCTTCGGCCCTCCTGGTCTTGCAGGGCCCAGAGCCGAGCGGAATGCAAGTCCGATTTCGATCGCGATTCCGGCGTGACGTTCTCGATTCCGGTTCCGGTCCGAAGGCCGGACGGGATCCCGATTTTGGTCCGATGTGGCGCGCCTTTTTGTTTTTTTTGCCAATCCGACTCCGAGTTTTCGATTCGATTGAAGGGGGGCTTGCTGTGCAGTTTCCAGGCCCTCCATGGCCGATCCACCAGACGGGGCAAGGACGAGTACAAGTACAAATCCGTTCCATGGCGTTCAGCGCTCTCAGAGCGTTCCGGAACGCTCTGAGAAGGCCGTGGCGTCCGAGACATCCCCCAGAGCCGCCGGATATTAGACATTCTCGATTTATTCTCACCTGATTTGGTCTTCGTCCCGGCTTTGTTTTTTGCATGGCCGATCCAGAGTCTAGCCTTTTGCGGTCGACCCCGACCCAGAGTGCCAATTCTCTACTGACTCCTGCGTCGGTGCACCCACCGCCGGCTCTTGCTGCCGAGGGCCCCCCCTTTCAATCCAGGGCCAGATGCCTCCGAGGAGCAGGAGGATGTGGAGGTTTGTGTGTCGTGGGTCCAGTTTCTCTCGGTTCCCCTCCTCCCTCCCGTCCTGCTACTGGCAGTTAACATAGATTCTGTGGCTTGACGGTTGAATTCGCCCCTTCGCGAACCTGGTTGTTTCCCTTTAGGGTGCATGCATGTGAGCACAACTTGACTGTCATGCCACCGCTCATCACCACCCCTCCTGCTTCTCTCGTCCTTGCCCAGCTTGCGTGCGCAGCCTTACGAACCTGAAATGAGGCCAACTCTGCCCCGGGAGCACGTCTGTGAATCATGAGGGACGTTCCGAACGAAACAAGTATACGACAACAGTTTCTGAGTTCTTGTGCGCGGGAACAATACTCGGGAGTGGCGGGAGCCTGGCTGGACGCTGGCAGGGGAGAGAGGCGTATTCATCATGTGCCTGTGTTTAACAAAAGTATGTAGGTCGGAGGGGCGTGAAGAGCAAGAGGATGTCGGAGAAAAAGGGTCGCTCCCGTGCCTCTCCCTCCTCCCTGTGCCCTCACCGCCGTTGTCCTCATCCCTCCCTCCTCGTCCTCCTCTTCGTCCTCGTTGTTTGTCCTCGTCCCTCACTTCGTCCAGATAGTCCTGCTCCTCCTCTTCCTCCTCCCCCCCCCACGTTCTCATGCCGCCAGCGATACGGGGGAGTGCTTGCACTCCAGGTGCCCGCCGACGACTCAGCTCGGCATCCTGTCGGGAAAACTCCCCGCTGCCCTCGCACGCGCGGCCCGTGCGGGCAGCAATCGAGAGGAGGAGCTCAGCGCAGCAGCCCTGGCGGCAGCTGTCCCCTGAGGAATGCGAGCGCGGGTGCGCTCTTTCCTGTAGCGGGACGCACTCGCTCCTGAGGTTGGGAGTGTTTTGTCTTACTCCGTGATGCACATCGCGAGCAACGTGCAACTACACGAGGAGCATCCACAAGTGAGGGATGCGTGTGCATTGGATCTTCTGCGCATGACTGGCAGCGCAAGGGTGGTTCGTCCAGGAAGTCCTCTTTCCCACGAGGTGGTCCCGAACATGTTTTGTTGCACCTGCGGTCGTTGCATTCCTCCAGAAGTTGCGTGGCATGGCTTCACGTTGCATCTCATATTCCGCTTCCTCCTCCGTCACCGAGGTCCTACACTGGCGTCACCGATCCCGCTGAGGCGGCGGGGGGTGGGGTGGAGGCGCTTTCTTCGGTCCATGTCCCTTCTATGGTGCCCGCTCTCAAACCCACTGGCTACGATTTCAACTACAGCACTGCGCATGGCTCGATTGCTCCTCTGCTTCTCTTCCTGTCGCTGGCTCTCCCTCCCCTCGCCAGCCCTCCTCCTCCTCCTCGTTCTGCTCATTCCTGCCCCTCCACGAATCTCCCCACCCTCACCTTGCTCTCCCCTCTCTTCGCGCCCATGGCCATCACCATCACGACCATCACGGGACAGTTACCCTCGAGCCTCTTGGGCTCAAAAGTGCCGCCTCCTCTCTCGCCTCTCGCTGCTACCGGAACCAGCTGTGCATGCCCGTTGGCCCGCTCGTTACCATTGCCACCACCATCAGCATCGTCATCGCCATCTGAAAGCATCACCATCATCGTAAGCATGGGCAGATTGGTCGTGATGACCCGCATGATCGCCAGTTTGATCCTCATCCGCATCAGTAGCAACATCATCACCACCACCATCACCACCATCACCAGCTTCATCATCACCATCACCATCACCATGACCATCACCACCACCGCCACCATCATCATCATCATCACCACCATCATCACCACCATCATCATCACCAACATCATCTTCACCACCATCACCATCATCATCACCATCATCAGTATCGCCGCCACCACCATCACCATTATCATCATCATCATCATCATCATCATCATCATCATCATCATCATCATCATCATCATCACCAGCATCAGCATCAGCATCAGCATCATCATCATTTTTCTAGTATTATTACTATCATCACCATTTTCCTGTCCGGAGTTTCCGTTTTAGGATGCATCCGTCGACGCTTGCGCGCGAGCGCATGCGAGCCAGCTGAAAAGGCTGAGGCAGGGCGGTACAAATACCATAGTCCCCGCAGTTGTGGATAAGAGTGATGGGTCGGAGGGGGTCGTCGGCAGTTTGCGTGGCCCGAGTGCACACGTCGCCAATTTTGTGTTTAAGCACATCAAGGGGGCAGATTTTCTAGCGTAGGCGCCGATTGTTCCACCACGCGTTGTGGTGTGGGCCGCGGGGCGGCAGCGCGGTGGGTCGCGGGGCGGAACCGCATTTTCAAGACCGTTCGCCCGCCCCGCCCCCCCTAATCATTCGATCCGTACCCGCTGCAGTTGGGAGCGGTCTGCTTCAGGGCAGGGGGGATTACGGGTGGTTGGTGGCGTGGGCTGGAGGCTCTCAGTCGATGATCCTCAGGGCGTGTGTTGGCCCAGTGTGTGTTGACCCCGTTCGGCCTGTGCCGGCCATCGTTGCGCCACGTGTGCCGTACTGAAGGGCTTCGATGGACCAGCACACGTTGGCGCTGGCGCACGTCCTGAGGATCATCGGCTTAGGCCTGGCCCGCGCGGCACTGCGCGAAGCCTCACGAGGAGGTGGCACGGCTGCGGTGGGCTGCGGTCTGGGTGGTCCGCGTGGTGGGCGGAGGCGCTGCCGGCGGCAGGGCAGCCGAGGGGGGCGGCCCTCGGCCGGGGTCGTCGCACGAGGGGGGCCTTCGGCGGGGGGCGTCGGCAGGTGTGGCCACGGGGCGACTGTCAGGCGATCGCAACACATGGAGCAGGGGGGCGTGGACCAGCGACGGGTCCCGCTGCCATGGGAAATCGAGGGTTTCCGCCGCCGGGCGAGGCGTCAGCGGCCGCATTTGGGGGAGGGCACCTCCTCTGATCCATGGATATTTGGCGACCGCGCGCCAAATCCATGGACCGCTAATCCATGTGTGCGCGCCCCCCCAGACTGGATAGGCGTCATCACCATCATCAGCATCGCACTTTGGCATTAGGTCAGTGCACCTCCATCTCCTGGTGTCCCGTGCTTTGCTGCCGCGGGGAACCCCAGCATGGCTGTTGACGTGATTGCCGACATGAGCGCCTATGAGTACAAACACCGACTCTCACTTCGCGCTCCACATCTCTTCTGCAAGGCCGTCAACGCGTTCATGCGAATGTGGGACTGTTCGTCAGTCAGCTAGGACCGCCTGCCAGTTGCGTCTCCCGTGGGTAGCGAGCCCACTGGCATTCTCAACGATATCCCTTGATCTTGGTGATCTGTGCCCACCTGGTTTACTAAGTCTGTCGCAACGGCGCGCATCGCCTGCGCCATCACAACATGATGCAGCGGCTTCGTTTTCGCGCGAAGTTCCAAATTGATCGGCTACCCGATCAAGCGCGCGACGTTTGGGCTGTTCGACGCCTCGTTGACACTGCACAGGCTGCGTTGCTGCGGCCCAATGGACCAATGGGCTGTCCCTGCAGACGCACCATCTCTAGCAAGAAGCCAGCTGCCGCATGAAAGCCACTGCTCGCTCGAGTGCTCCCCTTGCTCGGCGAGTCACGTGCTCGATTGCTGTTTGCTGATACGGAGCCCGCAGAACGGGAGCCTACACGGCCCCCCTTCGGGAAACTAACTCGTCAGGGGGTTGAAGAGAGAGGTGAAGGAGAAGGAGTTGGAGGAGGAGGAGGAGGAGGAGGAGGAGGAGCGAGCGAGCGAGCGAGCGAGCAACCACATCGCACATCAGTGCGACGTCTTCAAACATACGCAGACCACTGAACACTGACCACGTGACCACCCTACGGTGTCTGTGGTGGGCGGCACCATCCTGGCATGCTCGTCGGCCACCTGGAGCTCACTAACTGTATCTCTACGGTGCTCTGTCTGCCACCAGCTGTGTGCATTGCCTGGGCGAGTGACGCAAGTGATGCAACACCCTCTTCTGGAGGTGACATCCTGTTCCGCATGCTGGGCAGCACGCGCGAATGACGTGCTGCCTATCCTGCCGCACGCCAGCGCTCCGCGGCGCATCCAGGGCGCGACGCGCACCGCGTGAGCACAACGGACGCTGGTTTCCGGGCGGCACGTCGCCTCCGGCAGCCGAGAGATCACACATCACGATGCCTGCAGCTGGAAGGGAGCGGTGGCTGCTCTGCCTGAGCCTCGCAGCCCCTTTCCACCGCTCCGGTGAGGAAGAAAACGGCTCTCAAATGCAACCGGCATTCGCGTTACGACGGTGGTTCTTGAATCTTGCGGTCCGCTCCCATCTTCTCCCTCCCCCCCCCCAAAAAAAAGCCTCTTTCCACCGTTCCACGCGGCAGACGACTGAGTCAGCCGTGCCACCGCACACCGGGTGGCCCAGTCCCTCTCGGCCCAGGTTGCGCGCTGGCGGGCCGCTCCAGGTCGTTGGCAGCAAGGGCCGCCAGAAGGAGGAGGAGGAGGAGGAGGAGGAGGAGGAGGAGGGGGAGGAGGAGGAGGAGGGGAAAAAAGGAGGAGGAGGAGGACCCGGAGAAGGACCAGTACAAACCCTAGACGCACCAACGATGTTGCAAAAAACCCTCACTCCAAGGTTCCCTCTTCAGAAGCCCCTAGAAATAATGTGTTTTCATTGCGGGAAGTGCCCCATTGGTAAGACAAACGCCCGAGAATCCGCAGTCGTGCTACAATGCCATCCCTGGAATGTCAACGCCGCGAATTCACGTGACTGCTGCGCCCTGACAACCCTAAATCGTGCCGAACACCACTCCTGGGACTTCACCCCCCCGAACCCGCGTGACTGCTGCGCTCTGAGAATCGTAGGCCGCGCCCTGACCACCTTTCCTGGGATTTCAACCATTGAAAGAGCGTGTTCTACCGCTGCCGGCGGAAAACCGGGGGGGGGGTCACTACGGGTTCGAACCCCTCCCCCCCCCCCTCTGGTAAACCGGGGGGGGGGTCACTACCGGTTCGAACCCCTCCCCCCCCCCCCCAGTTCATCATGAAAAGGGTGGGGGGGTCACTACCGGCTCGAACCCTCCCCCCCCCCTCCTCGAACTCGAAAACTGGGGGGGGTCACTACCGGTTCGACCCCCCCTCCCCCCCCCCCCCCCTCGGAAACCGAGGGGTGGTGCGGACAGTGGTGGGGACGGTGGTGGTGGGGACAGTGGTGAGGGGACAGCGGGACAGTGGTGGAGACAGTGGGACAGTGGTGGGGACGGTAGTGGTGGGGACAATGGTGAGGACAATGGTGGGAACAGTGGGGACAGTGGGACAGTCGTGGGGACGGTGGTGGTGGTGGGGACAGTGGTGTGGGGACAGTGGGAATGTGGTGGAAACAGTAGGACAGTGGAGGGTACAGTGGTGGTGGGGACAGTGGTGAAGGCGGTGGCGAGGACGGCGGTGGGACAATGGAACAGAGGTACAGTAGGGACAGTGGTGGGGACAGTGGGGACAGTGGTGGGAACAGTGGGACAGCTCAGTGGGACAGCGGAGGAGTCAGTGGGACAGTGGGGACAGTGGGGATAGTCGTGGAGAAAGTTGGGAGAGTGGAGCCGTGGTGGGAACAGTGGTGGGACAGTGGGGACAGTGCGACAGTGGTGGTGGCACTCGTGGGGACAGTAGGGGCGGTGGTTGAATCAGTGGGGACAGTGGTGGTGAGGACAGTGGTGCTGGGAACAACAGTGGGGGATGTGGTGAGGATGGTGGTAGGGACCGGGAGTCGTTTGCTGGAGGCGAGAGGGGGGTTGGGGAGGGGTTCGAACCGGTGCCCCTCCCCCCTCCGGTTTTCGAGGGGGGGGGGGTTCGAACCGGTAGTGACCCCCCCCCGGTTTTCGAGTTCGAAGGGGGGAAGGGGGGGGCTAGGGGAGGGGGGGGGTTTTGCCGCGGTAAGGGGGGGGGGGTCCAGCAGGGGGGGGGGGGGGATTTTCGGGAGGTGTGGGGGGGAGACCCCCGGGTTCCGGAGGAAAAGGGTGGCAATTTTCCACAGTAAAGCGGCGGTGGATCACGCTCTCTCCAACCATACGATCCCTTGAAACTGCTGCAAGCGTTTACAGCGAGTGTCCGCGGCGCGGCGGCGAGAGCCGCATTTTGAACAGGAGCCGCCCTCCGTCCGTGGAGATGCTGCCAGCAGCTTTCAATACACGTGTCCGCGGCGCCAGGGCGAGAGCCACATTTGACAGAGTGATCGTTCCCCTTGTAGAGCGAATGTCCACGACGCTACTGCGATAGCCACACTTTGAAAGCGGCCAGTCCCCCATCCTTGAAACTGCGGCACATGTTTGAAACGAATGTCCGCGGCGCTACGGCGAGAGCCATAATTTGAAAACGAGCGGCCCTCCATCCGCGAAGCCGTTGGGCACTCCGAGCTCCAGGATCACAAATGGTGAGAGTGTCTCTGGCGAAACGCCCAGCTCGCCCCACCGACAGGGAGGAGTTGTTTACAGTGGAGACCCATGCCGAGAAACACCCTGCTTGCATTCAGGGTGCCCTGGGTTTCTTGGGTTTCGATGGGTTTGGCATGGACGGCGTGACGTTCCCATACCAAAAATCACTGAACGTCCTGGTCTCAGGGCTGGGTTTCTTGATGAAGGTTTCTTGTGGCCGAGCTCCTCCTGTGAGGAAGAGGGATGGAGGAAGATGAGGAGGCGCCTGGGGGACAGCGCCGGCAGGCCGGCGAGGGCGTCGTCGCCGTGCTCAAGTCGGTGTCGGCAGACTTCGCAAAGATGGAAGCGGACTCGAGGGCGCCCCTTCCAGGAGGAGGGAGGAGGGAGGAGGGTGGAAGGGAGCAAGGAGGAGGAAGGATCATGAGGGCAGGGAGGAAGAGGAGGGGAGGAAGGGGAGGGGAGGATTCAAGACAAGGAGGAGGGGGAGAGGAAAGGAAAAGGGGGTGGATGGATGAGTGGATGAGGATGTGCAGGAGGGTCTCTTCTTCCTGGTCGTTCTTCTCCCCTCCCTCTTCCTCGTCCGCTTCTTCTACTTTTGATTAGGCACTCCCGTAGCATCAGCCCCTCATCTCCTCTCCCTTCCGCTTTCTCTTGTTTCTCTTCTCTGTCCACATCCTACTCCAATGTAATTCGCTGGCCCAACGGGCCAAAGACGTGCTAAGATCTCCGGTAACTGTTTCACACTATTTCTAGTTCGCGCGCGCGGGGCGGCCCCTGGGGGTCCCAGGACGAAAAGTACCCCGGCAAGGTCCCGGGAGGAGCCACCAGAGCATTCCAGGGGAGGGCCATTTTTGAACACCCCTCACGAGGATCGTGGCCTCCGAGGGTGGAGCCGCAATCGACTGCCCCCCCTCCCGCTTTAAGAGGACTCCAAGAGCACCCCAAGAGGCCCTGGGGGCCCCCAAAACGCCGCCAAGGAGCCCCAAGAGACTCCCAAGAGGGCCCCAAGATGCAACATGTATTGTTTTTCCTAAGGTTTTGGGGACATGTTGACGTCTCCACCTTTTCGGCATCGCGACGCCCCAAGACGGCCCAAGCGGCTCCCAAGATCGCTCTAAGAGGCCCGAGAGGCCTCCGACAGGGCCCCAAGACGGCCCAAGAGAGGTCCAAGGCGGCCCAAGAGGCCTCCAAGACGGCCCAAGAGGGCTCCAAGAACGCTCTAAGAGAAGCCCCAGAGGGGGAACACGAAACAGCATTTCGAGCCCTCGGCCCTAAGACGCCCCCAGGAGGCGCCAAGAGGCCCCTTTGAAGCCCCAGGAGGCCCCCCAAAGGCCCTCGAGATAGCCCCCAGACGCCCCACGAGGCTTTCAAGAGCACTCCCAAGAGGGCCCCAAGAGGTACAATTTATTGTTTTTTAGGTTTTGGGGAGATGTTGGCGTTTCCACATTTTTTTCGGCATCGCGACGCCCCCAGACGGCCCAAGAGGCCCCCAAGATCGCCCTAAGAGGCCCGAGAGGCCTCCGACAGGGCCCCAAGACGGCCCAAGAGGGGTCCAAGGCGGCCCAAGAGGCCTCCAAGACGGCCCAAGAGGGCTCCAAGAACGCTCTAAGAGAAGCCCCAGAGGGGGAACACGAAACAAGATTTCGAGCCCTCGGCCCTAAGACGCCCCCAGGAGGCGCCAAGAGGCCCATTTGAAGCCCCAGGAGGCCCCCCCAAAGGTCCTCGAGATAGCTCCCAGGCGCCCCACGAGGCTTTCAAGAGCACTCCCAAGAGGGCCCCAAGAGGCAAAATTCATGGTTTTCCCTAAGGTTTTGGGGAGATGTTGGCGTCTCCACCTTTTCGGCATCGCGACGCCCCACGACGGCCCGAGCGGCTCCCAAGATCGCCCTAAGAGGCCCGAGAGGCCTCCGACAGGGCCCCAAGACGGCCCAAGAGGGGTCCAAGGCGGCCCAAGAGGCCTCCAAGACGGCCCCAAAGTGCTCCAAGACCGCTCTAAGAGAAGCCCCAGAGATGGAACACGAAACAGCATTTCGAGCCCTCGGCCCTAAGAAGCCCCCAGGAGGCGCCAAGAGGCCCCTTTGAAGCCCCAGGAGGCCCCCCCAAAGGCCCTCGAGATAGCCCCCGGACGCCCCACGAGGCTTTCAAGAGCACTCCCAAGAGGGCCCCAAGAGGCAAAATTCATGGTTTTCCCTAAGGTTTTGGGGAGATGTTGGCGTTTCCACCTTTGCGGCATCGCGACGCCCCAAGACGGCCCAAGCGGCTCCCAAGATCGCCCTAAGAGGCCCGAGAGGCCTCCGACAGGGCCCCAAGACGGCCCAAGAGGGGTCCAAGACGGCCCAAGAGGCCTCCAAGACGGCCCAAGAGGGCTCCAAGAACGCTCTAAGAGAAGCCCCAGAGGGGGAACACGAAACAAGATTTCGAGCCCTCGGCCCTAAGAAGCCCCCAGGAGGCGCCAAGAGGCCCCTTTGAAGCCCCAGGAGGCCCCCCAAAGGCCCTCGAGATAGCCCCCAGACGCTCCGCGAGACGACGCAGGGTGCCGGGGACTCGGGCCGGAGTCTGCGCGGCGGAGGTCGCGGCGGGCCGCGGCAGCTCCGAGAGAAGCCTGGCCGTCGTCGTTGTCGTCGTCGTCGTCGTCGTCGTCGTCGTCGTCGTCGTCGCAGTCGTCGTAGTCGTCGTAGTCGTCGTAGTCGTCGTAGTCGTCGTCGTCGTCGTCGTCGTCGTCAACGTCGTCGACGACGACGCAAAACGAGGGAGAAGGGGGATGAGGAGAGAGGAGGGAGCACGAGGAGGAGGAGAGAGCAGCAGGAGGGAGTTGAGTCCTCCTCCTCATCCTCCTCCTCCTCTCCTCCACCTCCTCCTCATTTCCGCTCCGAGACGTGAAGGTCAGACGTGACACCCGATTCGGTGAGAGGCCAAATTCGGCGGCCCAACGGGCCAGTAACTGACCCCAAAATAGTCCAAGAAAGCCCCGAGTCGCCGACCGATCGGACCAAACCGCTCAAAATGGCCTCCAGACGCCCGCAGACGCCTGCAAGACGCCCGAAGATGCCTCCAAGAAGCGTCTCAAGAGAGCCCCAGGAAGCAAAAATGGTAGAGTTCTTTTTGGTTGCTGAAAGATTTTAGCGTTCCCACCTGTTCAGCTCCCCGACGCTCCACGACGGCCCAAGAAGCCTCCAATATCGCCCCCAGGCAACCCAAGAGACCTCCAAGACGGCCCAAGAGGCCTCCGACACGGCCCAAGATGGCACCAGGACAGCCCAAAGAAGAGGCCCAAAGTGGGAACTGGAACGGACATATCGAGCCCTCGGCCCCAAGCGGCGCCCAGAAGCCCCAGGATGCTCCCAAATGCTCCCAAAGGAGCTCCAAGAACCCCCAAAGAGGCTCCAAGAGAAGCCCAAGAGTCCCCCAAGAAACCCCCAACGAGGACCCCAACAGGCGCCCTAAAGCCCAAACGCCAGCGAGGGCACGGGCCGGCGGAATGAGCGAAGCGATTCAATAACTCCCTTCACCCATCCTCATAGTCATCATACATACTGTCCCCCTTCTCATCATGATATACCCATTCGTCCTCATCATGGTGTCCTTCCTCCACATCATCTCTCTTCCACCACTCGCCTCCTGGTAGCACTTCGGATGGTGCTTGTAGTCAGAAGCGAAAGAAGGGAAGGACGTATGCGTACATGAATCCACGTTTGGTTTCGAGAGTATACATTGCGCGAACGTTCGTATCACGCGGCCAGTCTCTCGGATCGGTGGCCGTGTTCATGGTTGGGCGCGTGCGTCTTATGTGGGCTCCCGATATAGGAGTGGAGCTGGTGCTGCTGCTGCTCCCCCTGCTCCCCCTCCCCCCCTCTTCCTCCTCCTCCTCCTCCTCCTCCTCCTCCTCCTCCTCCTCCTCCTCCTCCTCCTCCTCCTCCTCCTCCCCCTGTTGCTGCCGCAGCTGCTCACAGAGGTGCTGTCGCTGCTGCGGCTTCCGCTGTTTCTTCACCTCCGCATCACCCCCCAACAAGCGCAATGGAGAAAAACACGCAGGGGTCATCACTCAACCAACGAGCGCAATGGAGAAAAACGAGGAGAGGTAGCAGTGGGAGAGGAGGGGGAACAGGAGCAGCAGCAGCAACAGCAGCAGCAGCAGCAGCAGCAGCAGCAGCGGCAGCGAGGAAGAGCATGCTTTCCCCATGGGCCCCAGGGCAGAGCGTGACATCAGGAGCCGGCTTGGTGGCGCGAGTGCCGCTTCCGCCAATAGCCAACTGCAAGTCGGGCATGCCCCTCCGCAGGAGGAGTATTCAAGAGTGCCTGGTGTCGATGGTGTCGTGCTCTTTTGCCTCTCGTTTGGCTTTCGTTTGACGTTATTTTTCCAACTTGTTCTCCCAGGATCCGCCTGTGGGAGGACATGCCCGACCGAAAGCCAAAATCGAAGTGGAGACCCGGCGCCACGCGTGCCGGGCGCTGCAGCCGCAGCGCCCTCTCCTCGCGCTGCAGGGGCGCTGCAGCGGCAGGCGCGCCACGAGTGCCAGGCGGCGCTCCCTCGGGCGCGCGCGAGAGGCCTGCGGGCTGCCTGCCTCCGGGATCGCGGCCTGGAGGGCAACGCTGGTCGGGCCGAACGAAAGTCTGCACGAACGAGATGGGCACGGAAAGCATGGGGCACGATGCCCAACAGCAGTTCCTGTCCATTTTGAACAGGACTCGCTGTCCGGGCCGCCGCGGCCTGTGTCCATTTGAGACAGAAGGCCGCCTGCCCAACAGCGGCCGCTGTTGGTTCGGGACAACATTTGCTGTTAGGCATTGTGCCCATTGTTTCCGTGCCCATTTCGGGCGTCCAAAGAAAGGGGGGGACATGGAAAGGGGGGGGGGTACGACATCTGCTGCATGCAGCTGGTTTCGGCCCCGCCGCGGGGCCCATTCCTCGATGCGTGGGCGCTTCCCGGCGCCGGCGCTTCCCGGCGCCGGGAGGCGCCGGGGAAATCAGCTGCGTGAGCTGATTCTCAAGCTATCCCCCTTTGCTATCCCCCCCTTTCGCCCGGCCCGAACTGGCCGATGGGCGACAGGGCTCTCTTCAATACTTCGCCTTGCTGGGTCTTTTGTACTGCGGTGCCGGTCCGCCTCTTCCTGTTCCTCCTCCTCTCCCCGGTGCTGGATTGCATAGTGCTGCGTTGGATATATGTATTAGCGTGGCCGTTTGGGTAACCTTGTAGGGGGTATAACACAGCTCTGTGCCGCCGCGTGGCCGATACGCTTCCAAGGGGATTCGTATCGTTCGCCGTCTGGTTTTTTTCGCAGCCCTCCACGCGTTCTGTCCGCATACCCGCCTTTCCAAGTGTTCGTCTTCTGCCCCGGCTCCAGGGCTGCTGCTCGCCTTAGTGCGTGGAGACTGTGTGCAGTTTTCGTTGCGATGCGGCGATAAGAAGTTTCCTGGGCATGGAATTTCTGCCCAGCTGCTCGTGTGGCGGCCGCCGGGAAAAAACAAACTTAGCATCATTGTGGTAGTACGGTTGGGGACCACGTCTTGCCCGATGCAGGGTCTGAGCGCCACTCTTGATCAGAGCCAACGCAGAGATGAAGGATGGGAGGATGTGAGGGAGCACAGTTCAGAACTCAATCCCATCAAGCCGTCCGAGGGCTACCTGATTCGAGTGTCTCGGGCTGGGGCCGTTAACATTTTCGACATTATGTCAAGAGGGCAATTATGTTGCTACATGAAGTGCTGAAGGCTTTGAGCTCTTACTCTACCACGAGGGGGGGGTACAAGAAGAAGTTGACGACAGCCGAGGAAGAGGAGAGGCAGAAAGCAACAGTATTCACGCAACACGCTGAAAGGATCACCTGTGGGCCCCAGCGCGAGAGAACAGCCTAAATAATTGTTATAAGCTCCGCGACCATTGCCTTTCCCGTCATCCAGCTGCCTAGACATGGTGCCCCGGGGGGGCGCGATTGAACTTTTCATCCGCTCCCATGCTTCGCAACTGCTTACATGCTAATTGCTCTATGCTCACCCATGTGCCCTTCATCTGCAGGCACTCACTAGGAACTCAACCGGGATGGTCTGAAATCATGGACCCAGTCCCTCTGGCAATTCTTCGAGCTGCTTGGTTAGAAGTTTGGCCTCTGCCACCTCGCGCGGGAGTTACACACTGCCGAGCATCGACAACGTAAGGCGGCTCTTGGGAGTCTGCCCTTGGCGGTCTTACGTCAGCACTGAGGTGAGCTGTTTGACCCACCTCGAGAGTTGGAAGGGAAACGATTTGGCCATCGTCAGCCGGAGGCGCTTTCAAGCTAGGGTGCCCACCTTGACCATTACCGATTCGCCATTGCGCGAGTAGTTCTCTCTACAACGGCGAGAGTTGTGAATCGGCCTTGGCGCGCGGGGCTTGCCATCTTCTTTTTCTGGATGAGCCTTCCTTCCTTTAGGTAATCCTGGAACATGTTCGTGGTGCTCTCGACTACTTAATGAGTCGTCTGCATCAGGGCCGTCGAGAAGGCCGCGTGCTCGAGAGTCCTCACGCTCGTCTCTAGTTGAACTGCTAGCTTGTCTCGGACGCTGTTGGTGACCTTTGCGACCTCCTCGTCTTCATCCCCGTCCTCCGACACGTCCTCTCCCTCTTCCTGCTGCTTCTTGTTACTCTTCTTCGTTAATGCTGTGCGACAGCAGCAGTTTGCGCGGTTGCTTTGGGCCCCCGCGGGAGGCCCTAAAGCCGCGCACCGAAGGTCACTCTTGCCTTGGGTCACTCGTTTATGTAGCCGAAGGCTACATAAGTGCAAGCACAGATTGGGGAACCAAGCGGTAGACAGCATTGAAAAGCAATCCAACGCAATAGCAGCAATGTGGTGCAATTTGCCGTGGCGGGGCCCTATAATCAGACCAGGGTCGCACCCTCTGGGCAGGACCCTGTGAGCGAGACCAAGAGGCGCTTAAACATTACCCGGTTCGCAACGCCATGTTGGCTCAGGCCACTCGTGTTCAGTCCACTTGGGCGGCGAAATCGCCGCGTTGCCCGAGTGAGACGTGCACAGCTGCCTCACCTGGCGATGGACGCGCGGTGCTGCCGTGCTGCGGCAGGCGGTGACTCTGCCGCAGCCGGCACATCCCGTTACACGCTGAGGTTCGCAGACCCAAGGAAGGAGGAAGGCTTCGCCAACACCCACAAGGCGCAGCTGTCCCGCAACGGGGCGTGCGCCATGGCCGCCTTCACCGTCTCGATCCTCATGAGCCTAGCTGTCCATCGGTTCTGGGACGATTCTCAGTACCCCACGAGGGAGGCCCTGAAGCTCAGCAGGTGGCAGTTGCTCGTCCACGTTGTCATCCTCGTGTCCTTTCTCATTTCTGTTGGCTCTGGGAGATTGCTCGCCAAGCATGGTATGGTGAGCACCCTGGGACTGGAGATCACCGTTGTGTCTGCGTGCGTATTCGCAATGGTGTGTTTCACTGTCAACCCGAAGCACTACATGGCGCGAGTGTTCGGCTATAGCGACACGGAGGCCATATGGGGCGTTGATTTGGGCGCCACCGACTGTAGCTTAGTGCTGGCAGTTGACTTGGCGGTCACATGTGTGCACCTGCTGATACCCATCCGCTGGGTGGTCCTCGTCCCCTTGGAGGTGGCCGCCGTCCTCTGCTACATTGTGCCCTCGCTGCTTCTCGGTAGCCCGGTTATGACCCAGGTCCCCTTCAACATCATCGCGATCGTTGCCCTCGTGGTGATTTCAGCCATCGGGAAGCGGGCGTCCGAGAGACAGGAGCGTCTCTTGTTCGATGAGTTCCTGTTTGAGAAGCAGAGACGCTTCCAGGGCAGATTGAGAGCAGCGATGCGGCTTCGAAGGAAAAGGACCCCGGCTCCGAGCTCGGCGGATCGACGCGCCCAGGGACGACGCCGAGCGCAGCGGCCTTCGACGGCAGCGTGGAGCACGCCTCGCTGGACCAGATACGCGCCATCGGCCAGCGGGAGCAGTGGCTGATTGCCAGCGGTGAGGTGCAGCTCCTGACCGATATGGTCCTTGGCAGTGGTGGATTCGGTGTTGTCGTGGCGGGGCTGTACCATAACAACGTGGTGGCGGTGAAGGCGCCTAAGGAAGACATCGTGAGCAAGGGCGCCGTAGGTTCATCCCTGCCCGAGCTCTGCAACGAGCTGAGGACCCTTCGACGCCTTCGTCACCCCAACATCGTCTTCTTGTACGGGGCGTGTATGGACGCCGCCCTGCGCAAGCTGTGCCTCGTGCTCGAGTTCGTGGACGGCGTGCACCTAGGCTTCGATAGCAAATCGCGGGAGCCTGGTGTACCCTCGTAATTCTGTCTTTCGTGCCGCCTAGCGTCGATTAGCGTCTGGGAGTCGATACGATAGTGCCGATTTAGCGTCGATTCGTGTTGATTTAGCGTCGATTTGGCGTCGATTGGCGTCGATTTAGCGTCGACGAGCGTCGATCCGCAAGGGTCGACAAGATGGTATGGGAGGCTCCCGTGCGTTGCCACCGAGCCAGGCGTGTTCATCCGCGGCCCCAAGGCTCCCGCGGAGCCGCGCCCTGGAGCCCCACAGGCCAGGGACCTGGCCGGCGGCGCCTCCGTGCGGCCCATGCTCATCTTCGACATCCTGAGCGCGCTGCGCTACCTGCACTCGCGGGAGCCCGTCGTCGTCCACGGCGACCTGAAGGACGCCAACGTCTTCGTGGAGGCGCGCTGCAGCATGAGCGGGCGGAAGTCCTACCGCGCCAAGCTCCTCGACTTCGGCCTCTCGCGGATCCTCACCCGCAGGGCCAAGCCTCTGGGGGGCACGCTGCGATGGATGGCGCCGGAGCTGACGGCTCGCCAGGCCGTCCCCCCCGATTGTGCCGCCGATTGCTACTCGTTTGGCTTGCTGACGTACTTCATCGTGACACGGTGCTTCCCCTTTGAGGGCAGCCACGCCGATCAGCTGATGAGGCAGCTGAGGCGCGGCCAGCCGCTCAGTCTGGCGTGGCCCACGCCCGCCGACGAGCTCACGCGGGCCTGCCGGTCAGTGGTGGAGCAGTGCACGCGGGCGACCCCTGCCGCGCGCCCCACGACACAGCAGGTCAGTGACGAGCTGTCCACGCTGCTGAGTGCATCTGCGGACGGGGCGGCGGAAGCAGCGGCGGACACCCCCTGCACCAGAAGACCCAGCATCGGAGGCAAGAAGTTGCCAGGCGCCAGCGTGCCCACTGCCGCGGACGCCTCGGCGGCCAGGGCCCTCCAGCAGTTCGCGGGCGTAGTGGAGGCGAGGCAGCCCGGGCACGCCAGCGTCAGCTCACTCACGTCTGACATGGGCTTCGGGAGCCTGCCCCCTGTGAAGGAGCACAAGGTAATGCTGACAGGAGAAGCCGCGGACAGCATCGCCTCGCCGCCTCCCAGGAGTCCATCAAACTCGCAGGGGCAGCTGGCCCACCCTGAGTACGAGCCGACACCGCTGAGCACGCAGGCCCTCACTCTGGCGCTTCTGATTTCGCAGTGGAACCAGACGGTGCCGAGGAGCGCTTGCTGCCGGCTGCACGGTGCTTTGCGCTCACTGGACGTGGTGAGGGAGGAGGTCAGCCGCAGGCCGTGCCGCATGCCGCCAGAGAGTCTATTCTGCGGCCAGTGCGGCTACTGTGGGCTGCTGAAATACGGCCCGTCCCCCTGCGAGTTCTGCGGGCACCCCGGGGCCCCGGGCGCTGGGGAAGGCCCGCCTGATCGCCCGGCCGCCTCGTCTGCGGTGTGAGCCGGCCTCGACGTGCCCTCGGCTTGTGCCCTCGATGATGGGAGGCCGTGGACAGAAGGGGGGGCGGCATTCTGAGCGTGCTGGCCTCGCCCCGCCGCGGGGGCCGCAGGAGGAGGCGACGGGCGGGGACGGCGGTGCGCGGGGCGGAAGACCAGCGCTGCGACGGGCCGCTTGTGGGTGCTCCGGCGTACTCGCTTCTCTTGGCTGCATCCGCCCTCCTCCAATACCTGATCTGATGGTGCGAGGTCCAGGCGTGACGTCGTACATTTAGCAATGAGCGTGCATGGTCCAGGCTAGGATCGTGCTGTACTCATTCGATCTGGACTTTATCAGTTCGCTCTGCGGGAGCACTGCCGACTCCTGCCCTATGGTTTGGCCGCCTGTTCGGGCGGGGCACGGCCTCACTGCCTTTGTGCTGCCCGACCTAGGTCGAGCGTGCCTCAATGTTTTTTTTTTTTGTTTCGCGCTGCCCTGTGACAGCCTTGATCCTGCTCGGGGCGGCGACGCCAGATGCGGTGGGGGCCTTTGTGGAGGAACGCGACCGGGAGGCTTCAGACCCTGCAGGCTTCCGCATCGGATGGGGGCGGCGGTGATGTCACATCGTGATGTCCACTGCCGGTCGGCGATGGGAGTTCCACTGGCTTCCAGGCCCCGGATTCCTTATCCAATGCTTCCTCATACAATGCCCCCACCTGCATGGCCTGATGGGCCTGTTTTCCACCACCACCACCACCATAGGTTGCAGGGGGGGGGGAAGGAGGTGGAGGACGAGGAGGAAGAGCACGAAGAGGAGGAGGAGGAGGAGGAGGAGGAGGAGGAGGAGGAGGAGGAGGAGGAGGAGGAGGAGGAGGAGGAGGAGGAGGAGGAGGAGGAGGAGGAGGGGGGGGGAGGAGGAGGAGGACCCCCTCCCCCTCCAACTCACTGTGGTGGTGGTGGAAGGCAGCCCCATCACGGCCGCGTGGAGGCCCGCTGCGCTGCCGGCCCCCCCTCGCGGGGGTCCGCGGACGCCTCTGCTGGGGCGGCCGCGCGGGCGCGGCGCCGGTCGCGCAGGCGCGCCGAGGGCGAGTGCGCCTCTCGCGAGGCCGGGGCGAGCTGAGCCGAGGCCTGGGGCCGCGTCTCTTCGTCGTCGCGTCTCCTCCTCCTCCTCCTCCTCCTCCTCCTCCTCCTCCTCCTCCTCCTCCTAATCCTGGCTAAGTCAGTTCAGGCCAGGCGCCCCAGCGGCGCATAGGTAGGCGAGTCAGGCGGCCGAGAGTACGCCAATCGCCCCGGCGGCGCAGTCCGCCAGACACGGTGCGATCTGAAGGGGAGGAGAAGGGGGGGGGGGGAGGCGACCGAAAGTATTTTTTCTTCTAGGGGAGCCAAACGTGACAGAAGCATAGAAACTCGGAGGTCCGCGCGGATTTCTCGGATCGGCGCTGGACCCCCCTGGCGGCGCCTCCGGCGCCGCCCCTGGCGCACTCCGCGCGCCAGGGAGGGGGGTTCCAGCGCCGATCCGAGAAATCCGCGCGGACCTTTGAGCTTTTATGTTTACGTAATTTTTCGTTCCCTTATTTCTCTCTGGCCTCAAGGCTCCTTCCAGGCGGTTCAAAAGTGATGCTTCTTGGCTCAACCCCCATGGTGCACTCGCAGACGCAATGCCCTTGCTTCCAGCTTGGTCTGCAATTGTCGATTTCCCCTTGCTCGCGTCGCTCCTTCGTCTTCTTCTGGTCGCATCGGTTTTCCAGGCGCACTGTCGTTGGTCGTGATCTCTGATATCTACGACGTACAGTTTGCGTCTGTATTTAATAAATGCGACCTTCCTGTTTCAAATGCGACCTCCCTGTTTCAAATGTGCAGCGGGCTTCACGCGGAGGTTAGACAACGACAGAACCGAGACGAAGCGCTCCAGCACGCTGTCGTGAAAAAGCTGCACGCCCCCTTGACGCCTGCAGGCGGAGCGCGTGCGGTCACGCGGCGGGAGGGGGGCTGCCGGAAAGGATCCATCAAGGGAGGGAAAACCACCCGGACCGGACAATTGGCGTTTACTGAACGGCCCTGGGTGTTTACTAAACAGCCCTGCCCTGTTCCATTCCTTCTCTGGGCGCGTTCACTACAGGCCTCGCGTGTCGGGGTGGTTCTCATGGGGGGGATTTCCTGCCCTCTGATCCAGACCGTCTGTGGGGGCGGAGCGGAGGACGCCGTGCGGCCCCTCAGCACTCCCCTTCACGCAGGCTGCCCCTGGCGGGCCGGCGCTGCCATGCGCAGGAGGGGGGCCCGGGCGAGCGGCGGGGGCCCGCCCGCCGTGCGCACGGAGGGAGGGTGTGCGAAGCCGGTGTCCCGTGGGCGGGCTCCCGTGGGCGGGCTCTCCCTTTCGCGGGCCCGCCCCAGGAAGCAGCACGAGGGGGCCGTACGCACACAGGCGCACGATCAGTCGTGGATTCCCCCGAAGGTGTGGGAAGAGATAGGAAGTGCGGGGGGGAGGCGAGAACCCCGAATGCACGAGAAGACATGGGGAATCTGGTAATTTTTGTGTGTATTTCTTTGCGTGTCCCAGGTCCCCTTCAAAAAATGTCCCGGGTGCGCCCCCGTCGGGCGGGGTCACCCCGTGGGCGGAGCCCCAGGGCACCCAGGAGGCCGGGCGCAGGCGTGGCGTGTCGGGGCCCAGGCGCCGCGGGCGGGGCTCTAGAGGAGGTCACCCCGGAGTGGCGGGGTCCACAATCGGGGGTGGACAGCACCCCCCAACAGTGACACGTCGATTAGTGAATTGTCCGTTTTCGGTTCTCGAGAGGGCGCCGTGGCCGTCATTTACCAGGCTTGCGCCCGCCAGGTTTGGGCCTCAGGTCGTTTTCACTAAGCCACGTTTTACTAAAGGGGGGTCTGTCCATCCCCGACACAAGACCTGCTCTTGTGAGCGGGGAGGGAGCCGCACGAGTGCAAACACCGTGAGGGGGACATCGCGCCCAGCTCTCTGCCCTCGCGTCGTCGCCGAAACCGCGGAAGTCGTCGTTCCCGTGATCGACGCCCCATATCTCCCCCTTTTCGTCCTTCTCTTTCCCATCCTGGGCAGGTGCAGGAGGAGACAGATCAGAAGTTCTACGAAGAGGAGATGAAGGAGTGCGAGATCGAGAAGGCGAGGCGCATCAAGGAAGCGACGCTGAGCCTGAGCCGCACAGTTCGCTTGCCGCGTGCATAGGAGGAGCAGGAGGAGGAGGAGGAGGAGGAGGAGGAGGAGGAGGAGGAGGAGGAGGAGGAGGGACTGGAGAAAGAGGAGCTGGAGGAGGAGGAGGAGTATAGGGATCAGCCTTGGCCGAACGGGCCATCTTGGGTCACTTCGGCTTTCTGGGAGGGAGACGGTGCGGAGCTTCGGACGTTGCTCCTGAAAGGGTTGGGTGGTCTCTCAGAGCGCCAGTCGGAGGAGGATGAGGAAGAATAGGAAGGAAAATGAGATGAGGGATGATGAGCGGGAAGTAGAAACATGTGACTTGGACTCGGGTAAAGAAGCGTGCCCTCAACTCATCAAAAGGGTGAGGCACATGGGCAGGAACAGGCGCAGAATGCAGCAGACTGCAGCAGGGAGGAGGACGGCGAGGCGGAGGCCGAGCGAGAGAGCCGGATGAGGAGGAGGTGCAGCACACCAGAGGCAGAAGCAGCAGCAGGATAGAGCTGCAGGAGCAGGGCGAAGGAGGAGCAGCACGGCAGCCAAGGCACGCGCCGGGGAAGTGTCACCAGCAGGAGCCGTCGGCGTCGCCGTCGTCCGGAGGACTGGCCCGGCACCCGCGCGAGCCCCGGCGCACGGCTCCGGCGCGCCCGGGGCCTGGCATTGGGGCCTGGCGCGCCTGCGCCCTCGGAGGTCGTGGGGCGAAGCCGAGCCAGGCTGCACGGGGAGCCGGCCTCCATCGGCGCTGCGCGCCAGGCTTCGGTGTGCATCGAGAGCGGGAGCAGGGGGGGAGGATGCGGGCAGGGAGAGGGAGGAGGAGTTCCTCCTCCTCCTCCTCGCCCTCCTCCTCCTCCTCCTCCTGCCTCTCCTGCTCGTTCTCGCCTCCATGCCTTTTCGTTCTCCTTCCCGGCTTTCTTCTCTTTCCTTCCCTTCGTCCTGCTCATCCTACCTTCCTCTCCGCCATCCTCGTCCTGTTCCCCCTACTTGTCTTTCGCCTCTTCATGCTTCTTCTGTTCCGCTTCGTATGCTTCCTCATTTCCCCGTGGGAGGACGTCGAGGTCAAGACCGCAGAAAAGAAGCGGCAGGCGGACAAGGTCGCGTCGCTGACCGAGTCCAAGAAGCACGTCCAGAGCGAGCACGAGGCTTGGGCGCAGGGAACGCCTCGTCCGTCACTGGCTCTGCCAGGCAGGGGCTGGGCTTACATGAGGTTTCGGTAACATCAAGCTGTTCCTCATGGTGTTTTTTCGTAGCCATCTCTGGGCCGGGGCGGAAAGGAACAAGGGAAGCACAAGCAGAGACAATTGTAATTATGGGTGACGGATCTCGGGGATGATGGGCGTGGCAGGGATGAAGCAAGGGGATGGGCGATGACGTTGTTGATGATGATGATGATGAGGAGGAGGAGGGTGATGAGGATGAGGATGAGGGTGACGATGATGATGATGCTGCTGATGATGATCATGCTGCTGCTGCTGCTGATGATGATGATGAGGAGGAGGAGGAGGAGGAGGAGGAGGAGGAGGAGGAGGAGGAGGAGGGGGAGGAGTCGGGGGAGAAGGAGAAGTAGCATCAGTGTGAAGAAAGCCACGTGTCTTAGCTGCTGAGTTCCTATGTCTTCTCCATGTCAGTCTATCTGCTGCTCACCTTTCTTGCCATGTTTTCACCCCCCCCCCCCCGTCGGATACGGGTGCGAGCCTCCCACCACGAGCCGCTGTCGCCAGGCGACGGAGCAGTACATGGCGGACCTGCAGAAGGCTTGAGGGCAGTCCATCTTTGTCGTCCCCCCCCCGCCCCCTCCTCCTCGTCCTCGATGTGCCCCGCTCCACCTCCTCCTCCTCCTCCTCCTCCTCCTCCTCCTCCTGCC